CGAATGTTATGAGATTTAGTTCGTTCGCAGCAACGCTGTACACAACATATATCGACTTCAATTAAACAATAAAGGTCGGTTTTTTGTCTCTGCTTTTCAAATAGAGCGTTTGCGTGCGAGCAATCGTAAATAATACGAGACTTAAAAATTGAACTTTTTGTCCACAAAAAGAATGAAAATGTTAATAAGTTAATATATATAATAATGTATTAATAACGAGAGTATTTATTTTTAGGCCTGTTGGAAGAATTGTTATCATTTTAATCGTTATTGTATCGTACCTTTAAAGCGTTAGTCTCTATAACTTCCTGTTGTCCTTTACAAACAATTTGCGTTAAACTAAATACAATTTTTGCCTAAATGGAAAGTTACCAAGGCACGAACATTCGCTAATTGCTGATTTAATTTGTTGCCGTCGATGTAGCGTTAGGCTCAGTTTTCGCTTTAAAGTTTTCTGTTACCACTAGCTAAGTTGGAGACTGACGAATTGTAACTTGACAATTGTTTGGCCTTACTAGGAGTAGATAAACTGAAATACAGGATACTTTCCACAAACAGCTGCTTAGTTTCGATTTTATAACTTAGCTAGTATGGCGTATACGTTGCAGTACAGCTAAAGCAGAAAACAACTGATATGATACAATCTATTTTAGAAACATTAGATCTGGCTAAATTTTCTAGCAGTATTTTGATAATTTACAGGTCGTCTTCTAATTCTTCTCTCGTTATTGTCACCGATTTTGTTGATAAGCAACAACTACCGTATAAAGTCTATGTCCCGTACCCCAACTATACCGTATAAAGTTAATGTCTCATGTATATCGAGGACAGACTTCGAGAAATAAAAATATTCGTTTTCTCTAGTTCGGAGCATGTTCTAATGCTAATGTACTCACTATCATTGATAAAAAAAAAATGCACCAATTGGGATTACGCCGCGAGTATATAATTTTGTTGTTATGAGATCTTGATGCTAGACCCAAAAAGTAAAAGGGGCCGAAAGAAGAAACACTAACTAATTCCACGGTCCAATATTCTAAATGGATTTTTTTATAAATGCAGATCTTCACATGCGCGTACTACAAACTCTGTAACGTTTAGTTGTCAATATACTCAGTAACAATACTGTCATAATAAATTATTTTTACTGGTTAATATAGAGAGTGCAATAGATTTAGTTCTATGGGGTAACATAACGATAATGAATGAAAATCATGCAGTGCACGCAGATTACCCAGGTGTCTACGCCTTCCGATTGGTCCGACGGTGCCACGCTCTGCACCGGATCGCTAAAACCCACCCAAAAAACATTACTTCGTGTGAAACATCACACACTGATACGCCGTACATTTTAAACGAAGTATCGCGTTCTAACTTCGAAAAACCTGCACTCGTTTTCCTCGATGTTTTCATAGTAGTGAGAAAGACGACCATGAAATTAGCAGTAACAACCAGGATTGCGTGGTCGATCACAATTGTTTTCTTGAAATATTTTGAGCTCAAACAAGTCGACAGGTTGGTCTGAAGTGTTTTGACCTCCCACTACGCTATGCTAAATCATTTCAACTTTTATTGTTGTTAGCAGAGTGCCCAAAAGGGCTCCAGAATTTCGGAGCTCTTTGACTATGTTCATCTGCGGAGGAGAGCAATCTTTGAGATTTGTGACAACCAGCCGTGCTCGACTTCGGAACGTTTGCCATGTGAAATCCAGGTTCTTGCTTGATCTGAAACTGAAGCTTTTTTTTGTGAGCGCGAAGTTGGAAATCGTATAACTTGAAATCAATTTTCAACATGCATAAATTCCACCTATGCCACTCAAAAATCGAGACGAGCCGACCTGCAGCGAATCCAACGTTATATAGATTCCATATTTTGCACTGTTTTAGATAAGGTTGCGATAGCCGCACAATTGGTGGATCCTTTCGTATACGTTCAACCAAATTTAAGCTATTGATAGAGAGTACCTAGAGGTTTTCGCAATACGGCCGAAGTATTTTGTTGGCATCTACCGATACATTGAATCGGTACGTGGCTTGTTTTCAGAAACGATATTCGAAACGACCGCAAGCTACCGAATCATATTAACCGGGCCGGACGGAACGAAGAGCAATATGCAATTTGCAATCGTATACAATACGCTGACTATGTGAAAGACATCGTTAAAAACGAGGTGTGACTAGAAGATACACAAACGCGCGGTGTATACATAGGTCATTTGACTGTAGACGTAGAGAATGTCTTTTTAATGGCAACGCTGGAGGCAGTAGCCACAGTGGAGCAGCCACCCTAGACCAAGCGTCGACCAAAAGCAGAAAGCAAGGGAAGTAAATAGGACTGGATGGGGAATAGTCTGCCCTATCACAATATCGATAAGGTACGGCCCGCTTCAGTCTTTGGCTTAGCCCAGTTCGGTGAAGCTTGACCCGATGTAGTCCTATGTGGAATAGTCCAGGATGATGCCGTGGTCAAAACAAGCATCTTTGCCGCAGAACCAGTATCCTCAATAGCAGAAATAGAACGGTTTTCGATCAGCTGGATGCGCAGTAGAAGTAAATACATATACCAAAAGCAGACACAGTCAATATCAACGATCTCATTAACCGACAGCAACAGTAGCTGCTAGCCCCTAAGTAAAAGAACCACTGGCCACCGGGCATTTGCCACTGTCAAAGCTTTGCCCGACAATTGGGCTGTCTCGCTTGACTTAGCGAGTGACTGTCGGCAATAACGCTAACGGTCTCTGAAGGACTACGCATGGTGGGGAGCGTTTTCACGGGAGTCATGCAATTTTCATAGCTTTGCCGTTTGCTCCTGGTTTTGGCGTTTATTTTCTCCTCTGTCCGCCGGACAGCTTCTCAGACACCGAACGGTCCAGACTCACGTAGTGTGATCATCTATTTGACGTTCTTTAGCGAGTCGTCTTCCTGTATCTCTAAGGGATATGCGGCACTGCTATTGCTAGTCAAACGTCTAGTTTAACTTGTCTTTGGCTTTCTTTCAGGTTAGTGCTGTCTCTAAAATTCAACCAAATACAAAAACACGGAGACATGGAGGTAGAATAAGTTCACTACTGTCGCAGGGTCAAACGCCGACAACGCGAGAGAATTTCACTCGATATCAGCACACCGCAGCATATTCTTCATTCCTTCTATTCCTGTCAGACGTTGCTGGCCTGCAGCAGAAACAGTTGCAAGCTAGGGTCACCCGACAGGTCGGTTGGCAGGGCCTGGGCAGTGGCCGACAGCCGGCGATAGCGGAACTGTAGGACGGAGTCACTTACATGTATACGTTACATTATATCCTCCTTGTTTCACTTTCACTGAGAGAGTCTGTATTAATGTTAAGAGAAAACGTTTATCGTCAACTCCATTAATGGCATTGGATCTAAAAAATGCTTTTTGTATATTGCGTCAGACACCTACGCGGGTAGGTATTATTTCAACTAGTCGGCTGTTTCCTGTGTGAATGAAGCATGCCTACACCCGGATACGAACCTAGGCCAGCACGTGTCCTAACAGGCAAACACGCTATCCACTACGTTCCCCAGGGACAACGGCAGTAGATCTGGTTAGTCTCTTTGTCAATATACCACCACCGCCGCCGCCGCCACCCGATCCCAGCTTCTTTCTCTATAGCAGCAGGTGGACTGGCCTCAAATGTTAGTGGTCGATAAATACCCACTCAATAAATCGTTTGCCAGTTAGCTGTTGCGATCAAGGTGCTCATGTCAGCGATGGGAGTGACATTGTGCAACTAACCGCTGGCGCCATCTGGTTACAGCACCACACAACGTCGACTAGATTTGAATATGAAGAAAAAACCTGAGTGCGGCGTGCCTGCAATTGGCGACACTCTGGTGGCTTTTGCTTCCGAGCTTGATGCTATGTAATTTACACGCTACAAGATCCTCCCCGGTGTTCTGACATATGCGTCTCACTGTTACCATAGGCTGTTTCAAAATATAAGCGACTTTCATAAGGGTTCAAGGAAGGGTAGCTGATTTGTGGCGTCATATCTCATGTCTTATTTTGCCACCACGAGCGTTGTAGCAAACTCGCCTGCCCCCCGAAAATAACCAACGTTTGGCTTACAAGAAGTACCTTATGTAAAGAGTTAGAATTGTTTAGTGTAGTACGGCATCTTGGTTTGTTGAGGATGCACGCGACGACAACACAAGCTGACAGTTGCCTGGATATTATGAATTTGCGAGTATTTCTTCATCAGCCAAACTGGGCTTGGTGGCTTTTTTCAACGTTGACCTCACACGTCGTAAACGCCGTTTATGGGTCCTCGCGATCTACTCGGATAATTATGCATTAATCGATTCTAGAGGAACGTAGAACAGCAACATAACAAGAGGGGGAAAGGAAGCTTCGATCATTTTAAGACGAACGTTTAAGAGGAACCGAACGTCGTACGATTCCGAGGAAGACTATTCATGGTCGTTTCATGCATTCACGTCCAAACATCAACCTATCGAACTGTCTTATTGTGCGTGCCATGCGAATATATATGAAGTATATTCCTGCTTCGTTGTTGGTTAACACTGACAACAATGATGGTTAGAGTCGTTAGGAATCGCACAACATCGTAGCCAACTAGTCCGAACCCACAACATGTTGATTTATAAGTATAAGACGCAAAGTTCGTTTTATTTTTCGCTCGAGTTAACTAAAGCCAAGATGTCATGTATAAAAATGATTAAATTATAGCAGATTTTATTTAATAACATTTTAAAGAAAATTAAAAAAATAAAATGACCAAGCGACTACTCAGCTCTCCGGGGCACCGTGGATCGGTGCAACTTCAACCATCACTGCAGCCGGTCAAAGTAGATAGTGATGCCTGGCGGCTGGAAATTCTATGTCCTATATTGTCATATTATTCTGTATGTAATGAGTAGGTAAGAGAAGAACGCACGAGATGAGGGCTAACTAGTAAAACAACAAGCTTACAGTGACAATATATAATGCCGGTAGACACTGGTAGACACGCAAAGGCCCAAGTGCTGCGTAGAACAGTGATTTATTAGAACCACGATCTTCGTTGTATCTTTTACTCGTCATCTGTCTGCTTGGGTAAAGACCGCTAATTGTTATGTCGTGTGAAATATGTGCATTGATATTCCATAAAATCGTCTGTATATATTCATAGCAAGCGTACGTGTAAATTAATTATGATCTTAATACTACGTTACCTTTTTGGCGTGCCATTTATTGCCTTGTGTTGTTTCACAACATGGAGGGTCTTTCGGAGCAGACCATACGATAATTCTTACGACAATGTTACGGTAGCTCTCGCGAAAACCAGACCTCAACGAATAGGCAAGAATTACAATTTGTTTGCAGCGAGCGTTACCCCTGTCCTCGTGTTGGCCTGCAATCGTCCAAAGAATCTTAGGAGGGTGCTCAATCAGTTGTTCCGGCTGGTGAAGAGTGAGAAATACGATGTTGTCATTTCACATGGTTGCAATAATGATGCAACTGAGCAAGTTGCACGTAGCTTCAGTGCTACGTACATTAAACAGCCGGATCAAAGTCCGATCTTTTCAGACAAGCAGCTCTTCGGTAGTGAGGGCTATCAGCGTGTCTGTCGCCATTACCAATGGGCTCTAGATAAAACTATTAATATTCTCTACCCAGAAGCACAAACGATCGTGGTGTTAGAGGATGATCTCGACTTGTCCAACGACCTTTTTGACTACTTTGATTCTCTAAGAGACGCGCTGTTAAGTAATGAAAACCTTTTGTGCGTATCAGGATTCAATGACAATGGAAAGCCGGGAAATGTTGATATGAACAATCCGTGCCGCCTCTGGTGGACGGACTTTTTCCCTGGGCTCGGCTGGATGGCCACCACAAAACTAATCAGAGAGCTATTGCCGAAGTGGCCGAAAACCTACTGGGATGATTGGCTCAGAGAGCCAGAACAGCGGAAGGGGAGAGTGTGTATTCGGCCCGAGATAGCAAAAACAACGACGTTTGGTAAAGCTGGTGTTAGTGTTGGTCAATTTTTTGACAAGCATCTTGCCAAAATTTTACTCAATACCAAACAATGCAGGTACAATTCGACATCGATAAAACAGGAACGATATCAAGATAAAGCTATGGCCGAATTACACAGGTTGGAGGTTGTCAACATCCTCAATATTGACAAGTTCGTTGGATCGAACAAATCCGTCAAAATGCTTCCAAAAACGGTCCTTGAATGGGAAGAAGCTTGCAACTTTCTTAATATCATGGAGGATATTCGAGGTGGAGTAGCCCGAAATAGTTTTAAAGGAATTGTACCAACTATGTACAAAGGTATAAGGGTGTTTATCGTACAACCACGAACTCCGCGGGCAGGCCGTAATGAAATCGTTGACGCACACACGACCATGGGTAACTGAAATTGAAATGTATGGTAAATAATAAATTAGGCACAGTTTATTTAGTTTCATTCAGTTGCATCATTTAATTTTTTGTTTATGATTTTCAGGGACTTTTCCCACTGTTTTTTGTGTTTAGTGCTATTTATCATGCAAGTCTTGTTTATATCTTCGTTCTCTTAACAGCTTGTACCTAACAACAAAAGTGAAACGAGTATGGTCGTATGGTCGTTTTTAACTGGAATTGAATAAAAAATATATAAATTAGAATATTATATTTAAGAATAATTTTCCAAAGGTTCGTTTTGCTAACTTTCTAGTTTCCATGTACAGCAGAAAATATTTTATAAAATAGGGCGAAGTAGCTCTATTATTACATGGAATGTATACGACTTGCTCCATTTGAAACTTTAGTAACATAAACTATTTATTTATTAATCGATGGGTCGGTCGTTACTTCATCGTTGTCATTATAGAAACGATTATATATGATTATATTATATTAATATAATTGCCGTAACGGATTCAGGCCCTTCTTGTTCCCTCGATAACATGGGTCTCTTGCTAGGCGCGGGCTTTATAGGAAAGCAATGCCGAGGCAATACACTTCAGAAAGCTACTCATGAGCCAATGCAGCCACCTCTTCGGATAGCTGGAAGGACTCACTCATACTGGCTTTATTCAGCACACAATCCCGATCAGCGATCTACCTCTGATTCCTACGTCGGCGAGTTACGACCGCGGAAGGACAGGTCATCGAAAAGGAGGAAAAGTATGCAGCATTTTTGAGCCCTCATCCAGCTCGAATCTTTTCGAGTAGCTCTGGTGAAGGTAAAAGAGGGAAGATACGTTTGTGTTGACTATCGCAAACTAAACTGTATCGCCAAGCGAGACGTATACCCCTTACCCAGTATCAACTACCCTATCGACGGCCTCACAGGAGCTCGCTATCTTAGCACTTTCGATCAGATCGGATATTGGCGGATCAGCATGCAGCCGGACTACAAGTAGAAGACGGCATTGTGTACACCGGGGGGCTTTACCCATGCAAGTAGATGGCATTCAATCTCTTCAGTGCACCGACGACGTTCCAGAAGCTCATGGACAAAATCGATGGATATCTAAAGTACGAGATGGTTCTCGTTTACATCAACGACACCATTCATTTGACTTTGATACGCACACGTAAAAAGTTCTGGCGGCCATGGTTTTTGCCGGCCTGCGGCCGGAAGCAAAGAAAGCACTTCCGTGACAGAAGAGGCGATGTCTCTAGACTACTAGATCACAGCCATCTGAATTTCTTTGGATCCTGTGTAGGTTCGAGTAGTAACTCCGGCCTATTCCCGCGTTGGCTATAAAGGCAAAGAGCTTCGCGAACCTCCTATTACCAGCGGTCCATGTAAGATTTTACGAGGATCACACAAGTCCGCCGTACACTGTGGTCAACGCAAAGGATCTTACTTGAAACGCCGACCACGACGGGGCCTATCAGCTGTTACAATCCAAGGTCACACAGCGACCCGTTCTGCCAAACTTTCAGAATGATTTGGCAACGAGGTTACAGAATGAGACCAATAGTGCACTGGCAATGCTGGCCCACATAGAAGAGGAACGTGAGCAGGTCGCTGCCTACGCTAGTTGGCGTTTAACTGACGCCGATACTAGACTTCGCGTCTCCAAGAACAAACACGGTAGTATAGGCTGTTGAGAAATTCTGACCGTACTCGTATAGACGATACTTCAAAATTGTTACTAGTAGCATTGCACTAGAGTATTTGAAGGGGAAGGCAAACTTTTATCCAAAAAGTAAAAGCGCTGGGTTCTGATCTCACAGGAGTATGACTTCGATGTTGTCCAAAGGAAAACTTCCAGCAACGTCAATGCAGATGCACTATCGTGCTTGATTGAGCCGCTCGTAAAAAGCGGCGCCTTCGAATTGGACGAGGCCCAAAAGGCGCAGAGGAAGGATCTGCGCATGCGTAAAATTTTCGTCAAATTAGGATGTTCTCACGTTCCAGGATGACCTGATTTACCAGGTCAATTCCAGCTGGCCGCTCCATAGTTACAGATGGGAAGAAGCTATCACTCCATGTCACTCGGGAGCATGGCACGACATGCCAACAGGCGGAAGACGTTGCAACGTATTAAAAAGCGCTTTTTTATTAGTGCCAGGTTTACAGTGTGGGTCCGGGTAACATTGGCCCGAGGCAAAGTTTGCCAGCGGCATAATGAAGACCCGTTTATCCAGCCGCTCTATCCAGCTAATGCCGGTCCGATCGGGGACATCTGGTGCCATGATCCGGACACTGAAAGCTGCACTGTAATGCTCCTGCAAAAACTCCGACGTTGCCATAACGAACGACGCGACTTGCTTTACATTATAGCGAACTGGAGGCTACTTCTGGCGAAACCACGTCCGACACATAAAGACGTTTGTCGAACATTTACGGTGCAATGGGCTTGTGGACATGTAATTCGAAACGCTAGGGTCTATGGTAACAGAGGGGCACAGCCTACTTTTTAGTAAGGTCTTTACCTGAACTGCGTTTTTGCTCAACGCATCTATAAGCAGGAATTTATGGACGACCCAATTCCAATTATTTGTCGGACCTTATGCCCGGATAGCATTTTGGCTGTAGGAACGGCGGAAGTTGGAATACCACAGAACTTATCCCAAATGCTCACAAATTGCTTCACAACCGGTAACGCCATATAAAACCGTGGTCCAAGCGGGACAATTTCGTCCCGCCGAAGTTCAAAGTCGAATGGGCAACATCGGGGCTCTCCGATAAGTTGCGGCGTTTCCACGGGTGACCCTACAAGGTTATCGGGTTAGGTACATACTCTTAGCTACGGGAAACGTACTCTGCTAACGCTGCCGAGTATAAGGATGGACGCACGAAGATTATTGATATCGTAATTTCTAGGTGAATGTGGCACAAATCTATATAAGGGCCTGCCTAAGGTCGACCAAACCGTAGCTCACCAGTAACAGTTTTGTTATTTACATGAGTTTATATGTATATATATGAATGAATGAATTGAATTTCAATATCGTATCTATACGATCGAAAAAAACATGTTATTTCTAAGCAAGACGGGCTCACGTTTACATGTTGCGTTCCTACTTCGTTCTATGCCACGATAATACCTTTGAGGATAATTTACTGGATTACGGTGTCTCATTTTCGATAATTGTAGGACAGTTATCCCGAATTCTCAGAAGATATTTCTAAGCTCCGGCTAAAGTTCCTAAGATATTAGCGTGAATTGTGTATAATATAGCTTAATAGATATTAAGTTAAAATTCGAGTCGGTCTGAGAAACCATCAAACGCTGATATTTTCGTTACTGCAGGTCTCATGAAAAAAACAAGACGGTTATGGTGACCATGTAGAAATTAGCTAAAGCACGTTTAGGCTGTTTTAAGGCCTTCTCAAATTCACTGAATACACCGGATACGGTAAGTCGTTTGAACAGCAATTATTAAGCAAGAAACAAGACCAGCTGAGGCAAAAGTCTTGTGGATTTGAAAGATAATAGACAGCTAAGATTTCACCAATGAAGTCTGCCATACATCTATGATCAGGAATCTGAGTAATTCGGAGATCGTGTCATAGTAGCTTAATTTATCTAGAATAGCTACTCTACACTTTCACCGATGATGTGAGCTAATAATAGATATTTCAGTGACACAATCGTCAGTCAGTTTGCTAAAAGCCAAAAATTGTTCAGAACGATCTGGTAGTACAGGAACCAATTTTATACTTTTAATCAAAGACGTATGGGCTAGTCCTCATATTTAGGAATGAGTATACGAAGTTGATTAAAACTCTCGAACCATGTCGGTCAAATTTAAATGATCTGCTTTGGGTCAATTTCTCACATGAACCGATTACTCCAGGTGGTGCGCTACCCATTACCAAGCAGCTCTATCTAATATTTAATACTATTTAAAATAGAAAACCCGCGCCTAACAGTGACTACCAGCCAGGTAACATTAACTCCTGAATTGAACTCCTCTCCTCTCTCTCTCTCTCTCTCTCTCTCTCTCTCTCCATTCAGATCAGACTCTTGTCTTTTTGAGCACATCCCGATGTATTTCACCTTCGGTTCGTCTGGCCATTCATCCGTGTCAGTCATCATCAACTGCTGCTGCGTTTCATATTCGACTTCGGATTATCGAAAGAGGGCGATGGCAGTCCGAAAGTAGAACCGGAACCGTATTTACATGGCTTTATTCTTCGCAGTGCTCGTTTAACTTGCACCCCAGAAGAGCAGGCAATATGTCGTCTATCTGTTACTCCGCATTGTCGTTCTCACTAGAGCGTCCGTAGATTGCTTGATGATAGCTCGTGTACTCTCATGCTGCCATGCGTACCTTGGTGCAGGCATGGGCTGTGCTTTCTCCGTCACCTGTTTTATTGTTATCCGCTTCAATGTGCCGCGGCATATCTTTTTCATTTGCTCGTACAATCGGCACAAGTCCGCAAGGAAAGCGAAACCATTATGTTTGTTATGTGCAGACACATCCATTAGCACGTATGCATGTGTCACTTAGCGAAGGTGTACCTAGATAGCCTGATAGAGTAGTCATACATAGGGAAATATTAACTAGTGGGTTCTTCTGGCGTGTCCCTCGGTCGACTAACAAGAACTAGTGATTTGCCCTGAAACACCTCACTGAAGTATTCTATTGAGCGCAGGTTGAGGTCGAGTAACACAGTGACGGAGAGCAAACAGGGAGAAGAAATAGCGCGTTGAATGTTTCAACCACTAATAGCCCGATTAGATTGCGGTTATCGACAATTGGTCGAAGTGTTCCCTTAAGTGTCGAATTAGTTCCTCATCTATATATCACTAGCCTCACCTACCTAGTGCATATAGCGGGAAGGTCATTTTGATAACAACGTATTTCATGAGTAAATTGGCTTTGAGATTGTGATAGGGTTCACACCCATAAGCAGAGTAAAACAGGCAAAATCAATAGCCTGGTCCTATTTGTCTGCCTGATTTTTCTAGCTTTCTGAACACCCTTAGTTGAGAGGATATGGAAGGGGCTTCTGTTACTTCGTCGACTTTGTAAAATAACGGAAAATTAGTGTAAGTGTCTCATATGATTTTTCTTAATTTAGAAGACAAAGTAAAGTAGTTATATTATCTCATACTAATCTTCAAGCATTGATTTTGTAAATAACGGTGTACATTTCGAGGAAGCTCCCTAAGCGTCGTCGGTAACTTTGGCGAGTTTCATATAATCAATGTACGTTATTAGTGGATGAACCTTTGGCTACAACACTTCGTTATACAATATTTCGCAAAAAGTCCGTAATTAAACTAAGGGTTGCCCCACTAAGTTCAACTGAAACATTCGAAGCTTTAGCTATCGATGAAGATCTAATGTTACTATTCTAAATCGCCTGTATGTTGCACACAACGCCATTCCCGTTTTCTTAGACAAGCAAACGGTATAGTCGCGTGTCAGAAACCATCCCAGCTCCAGGGTGTCATACCTATTTACAACCATTCGAATGATAACGTTCGGTCTATATTGAAGACATCTATCCTTGTCATCAACTCTGTACCCGCAGTCATATAGTAGTATTCCTCATGAAAGGATACTTTAAGCAATGCCGACATACAATAATCAAAATATCTCATTTAAACGTTTCGACAAATTGCGGTTCTATCATCGGTAATTGGGTTATAAGTTATTTATTAGATCATTAAAAAGAATTGGTTTTTTAGCTAGATGACTTCCAAGTCATGTATCTCGCGTCGGGTTGGCGTTAGCGTCATTCGAAAGCTAAGATCAAAGACTGTTAGAATGTCCCAGACGTAAGAAAGAAGGTGTTGAAGTGCAGTGAAATTTTCGCAAAATTTCACTATATATTAGAACCTTGTCACCGTAAAGGCACAAATACTGCTCAGGTTCATGAAAATGCGTTTTTTGAACAAATGGTGCAAAAATTATTTTCAAGAAAAGCTTGATGCTCGTATGCCGTACGAGTTGACGTGAAGATATCTACCCGATCACATTTCTATCTGCTGAGCTCTCCCAATGCAATCGGGCGACTTCTGATATGGCCGATCACGGTTGACGAAAACTAGATCACATACGAAAATAAATTGTAAATGAAAATGTATGCCCTACGATACGTGGCAAAGGCCTACCAGACAGAGGTGCTTAATAAAATTCGAACAAAAGAACATACATTATGAGTCGTTGCCGCCTCGCAAGACGCCTCTAAAATAAACTATTGACAAAAACCGATCGAAATAATTGAACAGAAAAGACGCCATTTCCTACCATGACGCTTAACAAAAGAAACAATAGAAATTTATCAGTAATGGAATTATATGTTACTAGGAATATGGCAGAAGCTCGTCAGTGAAAATGGCGCAACTTTCATTAAGTAATATTATTCTAAAATGGGAAAAATCATCTGCTTTGATTTTAGCTTAATACGGGCAATACCTTTTGGACAACCTACTACTACATACATGCATATACGCATCCTGATATAGAAAGAAAAGGACATGCGAGTTTACGGTTGAAAAGAAGGTAGAGGTAGGTGTATTTAATATTTCGATGTGTGTAAGGTTTCCGAAGCAGCTAGCAGCCGTTAATGCGATAACCGTATTATGGAAGGACTCCTTTCGGTAACTGATGAGCAGTTGAATCCAGCCAGAGGAACAGTGTTTTGTAAGGGGAGAGGTTTGGGCTCACCCAGCTTTTTTTTCCAAATCTTTTCGAGAACTGTGTGCTTTTCATCCAATAGGACGAGGTATCAGCACGTTACGATGTGCTTACATATAGTATATCTTGATCAATGGTAAGTTACTTTGTGGATAAGCAGATCGAGAGCGTTCCGCAAAGTTTCCTACGCAACTATGAAACCTCACTCA